TTAAACTTTAGAATTTATATGTGTACATATTTACAGATTTTCTTTTGAAGAAAGTAAATTCCCAAATTAAGTTTAGATTAATTGAATTAAAAATTGATTGAAAATTTAATTGTTTTCTAATTTTCCCATGATAAACGGAAATAATTAAGATTGGTACCTGATTATTCGCTATCTTTATATATTAATAACCATTGGTGACTACTTACGCGGTCGTAAGTCGCCACTCTTAAATTAGTGCGCACGAGATAAGGGGAAATCTAATCGCGGACGCCTTTCATTCACCCACGGCCGCAAATACGAAATAATTTCTGGAACACCGGGACACTTCTACATCCCCAGCCTGTCCAACTTCATTAATCCCTGGAATCCTTCAGAACCTAGCAGGATCCATAGGATCACGAAGCTCCCGAGCCATCCTAAGTAGCCTAATTTCAATCTTCACGCGTTTCCTTGAACGCTCGCTGCGCCGGCTGCCAGTCGACGAACTAAAACTAGCGGAAGATCTCCGAGAACTAAAGCGCCGTTACGAAAAACAGTGGAATTACAGGGAAATTTGAGATTATTTGAAAATCTGGACACTTGGTACTTCGGAGAGTGCAGAGATTTCGAATATGTTCATTCACTGCATATATAATGGATTTTATGACGTTAATTTCGCGGAATAAGCTGTTTTATTTCTATAGTAATTATATTTAGTGTTTTAATGAGATAATATTAAAATTAAAATCAAATTAACCTTGTTTCTTTGATTATAGAGCTAGAACTGTTTGAATTCATAAATGACGATTGCATATGAATTTATGAACCGCAAGATGGAAGAACTAGAAATTAAGGATACGTTTGTAGTTCAATTAGTTTTTTCTTAAGTAATGATTCAGTTTCCAGTTGTAGTTTTCAAAATTTTATTATTTGTTTTTCTGTGATCGTTTTCCTAAGAATTGAAAGATTGCGTTAAAGGAGTATGTCATGAAGATTTAAGTAAATGTTGTTGCAGAATTCGATACGAATAATGGGTCATCTTAATTGTAATATCTTCTTTATTGTTCATAATAGAATGGAAGTTAAATGCTCCAAATATAATGAAGCACAAATGAAGCAAACGTGTAGTACAGATATCATTGACACTGTTCTGACCGACAAGAATTCATCAGCGTCAACCTTGACCGACAACAGCATTAACCGACAATAACATTGACCGACATACACATTCACCGAATCGTATACATTCTTCTTCGTTCAATTGTGTAAATCTTGAAACCCGACTCTCTTTAGAATCTACTACGTGCATATATATTTCCATCGATTTCGGTGTCTTCGTTAGTAGGTTTGTAAAAGGTGCAGATATTTTAGTATCACTTATATTTTATTTTAATATCAATGACATTGTAGTGTTAGCGAACAGAACTCCCGCGAGACGTCAAAACTATCCGAATCCTTTACTTCTTAAATATTAAAAAATTTTAATTTCCAATTTCCAATTCCCGATTTTTAATTTTCAATTCTCCATTTCCAATTTCTACTTTCCAATTTCCAATTTCCCATTCCTAATTCCTAATTCCTAATTTCAAATCCCAAACTCCAAAACTCAAAATTCAAAGCTCCCCGAGCACCCGTCCACTTTACACTCCACCTCTTTCCACAAGACCACCAACAAACACGTCCCACTCGAGCCTCTATTTATCATTATCACTGCGAATTTCCCAAGCAAACTATCCATCCCACCAGATCCACCAATCAGCGTGCTTCGTCGCCGCGATTCCAAATATTGCGCGCAAACTAAGCCCCGATAGCCGTGATCGTCGTAGCTGCGTAGGTCAAGCCGCGAGCGTTCTCTGCGACCAGTGTCAAGGCTGGTCTTCGCGGGTCTGCGTATATACCCAGCTCGCCACTAACAACGAAGAAGACAAGGACGAAGAAGACGTAGAGCTCTTAGAAAGAGCAAGAAGAGGAATCGGAGCGGCACGCAGCCCGCTCGCCCGGTTCCCACAAATAAAACCAGTCGCCGTGGTCTGGTCGTCTTTCTCTTTTCTCCGTGTATCCTCGCCGCTTTCGCCCGTGATTGCTCGTTTTGCGGTGCACGCGTGCCGCTCGTCATTAGTCAACCTCTCCCAGGGACCAGTTACGCGGCGAACCGGGCCAGACCGTTCCCGCCGGTATCCCGAAGGCGTTCACGGACGATGGCCGAGGATCCGGCGCGCAACAGCCGACGGGACGAGCTGCGGAGGCCGTTGCTGAGGAAGCACGGCCCGGCAACGGACACCGACACCATCGGCAGGCGCATGTTCGTCTCCAGCTGGCCGGAATTGTGCGGACATTCCGCAACCGTGTCCGGTGAGTCCTCGATCACGAGGTCCCAAGGCCTACGACCCTGATCTACGCTCAGACACTGACCACGTCGACGGTGTCTTCCATCCTCTTTGGATCATCGTTTGGTTATAAGTGATGTCCTGGTTATCCAGGTCCTCGAGTGTCAGTGGATGCTTCTGTGAGGCTTTTGTGTTTTCTTCTTGTGTCCGATGTCTGCTTTGACGTATTTTGGGATTGGTTTCGTGGATTTTGAGGATTTGAGGTATTGTTGTGCTTTTAGAGTTGATTTGGGATGTTTTCTTGTGTTATTGTAGTTCTGTTGTTAGTATGATGATAGTGTACATGGTTTTAGTTTGTTATTATAGGGAAAGAGAATTTTAGGTACCCTTGTGCGATGATTGGAATTTTGAATATGGTAGAGAGTTTCACATACAGGAGCGATATTAAAATCGGATGTTAAAAAGTACGTAGAATTGAAAATTGATAGAATTATGTGATCGATTATTTAATTGAAACGGCGGAGATCGAATTAATACTTGTAACACGACGAATAGCATCAATCTTCGTCTACTCGATTATAATTGAGTAAATTTTTGTTGCTCAACGTGGAGGTTGTCTGCGACTCAAGCCAGCAATCATTCATTTACATAAGTTCTCCGATGATCAAGTTCTTGCTTCGTTAGAAAGATTCCCCATTACACGATAAGAAAATAGTCTCCGATTATTTTCTTGTTGGAGCTATAATAGGTTTCTTTTATTACTGTAATTATCGAAGTATTCGAGACCGAAGTCGGCTGATGAATTCTGAATCTTTTTGCCCTATTCAAACTTCCTCCCGCTTTGAGATAGCGATCTCGGACTCTGTTTAATTCATCTGCGAAATATTTTCTACCGGACTAATAATTATCTCCAGTACATTAACGAATGGCACGATCAACTTAGTTGCAAACTTCTTGCCCCCGAGGCAACGCTTCCGCTTTAATAAATATTCATGTGTTTGATAACGGAGAATTGGTCATCTCTTCGAGCGATGCAAATATTTGAATATTTAATTTGGCAGATTAATACTCTTTCGAATCTTAATTAATACTGGAGTCGATGTTCGTGAGATTTAATATTGCCTAAAATGACTCTTTGGCTGTTTTTTAAGAATGAAACAATTAATTCTCAAATGACAATTTCTTCTTCATTTCAAGAAAAAAATGACACGTGTTATTGGTTGTCTTTGATCTTATCATTTCGATACGATGTTATCTGAATGTTAAAAAAGTATTTTATCGATCATTGCAAGAGTTTACAGACGGAAAGACAGAGAAAATTGGAATAAAATTATCTTTTGTAGCTGCAAGTAAGTGTGTAATTAATACAGTATGAATTGTTTGGAAATGCAAACATCGATTCGGATCCTTTTCATTGGAAGAATCACCGCTCGATAAACTACGTAGTGATCAAGCGTTCTTGGAAGATGTATCGAGTTCGACAACAAGCCGACTAATTACGGACATAGCATCTCGTTGTTTTATCATCTCACGATGCAATTTGATAGATTCACAATGTTTACGCGTTACGTAAGAGAAATGGCTGTGCCGAGATTCCCTGTTATTCTTCGATCGAGATACCATTTCAGTCTCGTTTCTGAGATCGTTCGATAGTTTTCAATTGTACAGGGAGTTCTATAACTGGAAGTATTGCAATTAAGATGAAGACTTATTCTATACGAACAAAATTATACTTTGCTTCGGAAAATGCTCCTTCGACTATAAAAGAGAATAATAGAAATTCATAATCTGTATTATATTATATTATAATCATTAAACAGATCTTTACGCAAATTTCAATTAGGTAAGGATATAATAAAGACAAAATTACAGTGGAAAATAGTTTTTCCTAATAAACATTTTAAAAGTATACTCTTTATAAATTTTCTATATTTTTTCATCAACATTCTGTGCAATTTTGTGCTCCCAAATTTACCATAAATGCATAGAAACCAGCAGTCTAGTAATCATTAATTAAGATCAAACTTCTGTCAAATAATGTTTTTTAAAGAGTCCTTTCCTTGAGAAGGTAAAGAAAATATTAAAAAAATTGTTCGCGATGCTGAACGAAACAGTGCGATCAAATGATTTCACTTTCTGAATCGAATTGAATTTGTATGTTCGACTTTTTCACTGTTCACGGAAATTTGTTCCGCGTTCGGCCAACCGAACCGAACCAATCCAATAAGTGGTACGCAATGCGATCTCCGGTTCGGCGCATGAATGATCTCGACAACAGGAAAAGAGAGTCCAAGAGAATTCTCTCGGTTAACTGTATTTAATGGAGTGAACGGTGCCCCGAAGTTTTTACGTTTCACATGTGCGTGGTCCGCGGCGCGTTTCGAAGCTAAAGAGGCAGCCGATGGGAGATCGGAATGAGCTCTCGAGTGCGTCAATGACCGTGGAGGGGATCTTTTTTTTGCTGCGCGTCGGGTGCAGAGTGTGTATTTCTCTGACTACGCTCTAACGAGGTCTGTATCGACAAATAGGTTGCTTTTTGAAAAAAAAAGATTTGACAAGAGATAACTGGCGATCGCAACTGTTCATCCACAATGGCGTGGACGATCGTTGAATTTGATTTTCCCCGGAAATGGCTGCTATTATATAATAGTCGAAATTTATTTTATCGATAAAAAAATTCTTCATTCTATTATTGAACTGGACCTCTAGAGGATTGCAATATTCTCTAAGTGTCTAATTTATTTCAGCAACACTTTGAAAATCCGTGATATTTGAAATAAGATATTTTCAGTATTAAACATTTTTTAATATTTACTTGATATCAAATAAAATATTTTTAATGTTAAGATAATAATAAAGAATAATAATACTGAAAAATATTAACATATTTTTGAATCGTTGAACACTCAGGCTGGAATGTTCTACGAATGAATCACAAGAGATTCCAAGAAAACTTCTTGGAATAGTTCATAACAACACCGCAATAAAAATAAAGAAATCTCTTAAAATCCCTGTACATAAAGAATGAAATATTCTATGAACTGATCACGTGAGATCGCACAAGAATCTCCCACGAAATTCTCCAGAAAAATAGACGTTTCTCTGAAAACATTCTATCCCCGACAAAATAACTACTCGTTTGACAGGATCCTTTCATTTTTCAGGCAACGAGATGAATTACAAGGGCAGCGGGAAGGTCCACTTCGGAGTGGACGACGTGTCCCTCTATGGGACGCCGAAGGAGGAGCCTGGTCCGGGCCTCCCGGGCCAGGAAGTCAAGCAGAGTTTCCTGAAGAATCAGCTGCAGGCCCTGTTCCAGCCGACGGACAACAAGCTGGCCATGAAGCTGTTTGGGAGCAAGAAGGCGCTGATGAAGGAACGGATCAGGCAAAAGGCGGCAGGTCACTGGGTCATCCATCCTTGCTCCAGTTTCCGGTGAGTCTTCCCGCAGTCTATCAAACCCGTTCCTGTCTTGACAGGCGAACGGTATCGACCGGCGAACGCTAGGGCCGCGGAAACCCAGCGCTTCGGGAACACCGAAACTTATCGCCAGATCCGCGCGCGCGCTTGGCCTTTTTATGGGAAAAGTTGTTTAGCCTTGCCAAAGCCGCGAGAAGCTTTGCCAAACAGTGACGACTCCGAAGAAAATACCCCGCGAAAGCAACCTTGAGGTTTCGAAATGCAACGCTGGAACTTTGGCCAGAGTTAGGGGACTACGAGGACAGTATTAGCCGCGCGTGGGCGTCTTTAACCCTTTGGTCCTGGAGTGCACGTGCGGTATGCCGGTGACTTTGACAGATAGAGTCGATGACGGTTTCGAATATAGTAATTTTAGATTTCTGGATTCTATGTTTGTGAATTTTCTACTTGTGAATTTGATATTCGGGGATTTTATATTTCTATATCTCATATTTCTAAGTTATATATTTCTAAATTTTATACTTCTAAATTTCATATTTTTAATTTTCATATTTCCACATTGAGAAGTTTACGTCGTATTAAGAGAAAACAAACTATATATTTCATTTCGAAATTTCATATTTCTAAATTTTATATTTCCAGATTTCAATCTCCTAAACTTCATATTTCCAAATTAAGAAGTGTGCATCACATTAAAAGAAAACAAACCGTAGATCTAAATAAATTTAATATGTCTCGCAACGAAAAGTTTTTAGAGAGAACAAAATTTGTAAAGAACCTGGTCGACCCCGCTTCAAACAATTTTACGATGATTGGAATCTCTGTCGAGATTACATTAAACTATCAAGAAATTCTCAGCCGCCGACAAATTACTATTAGAGTTACAGTCCTGGAAGTTAATTTAGTACCACTCAGTTTTGGCAAACACGTGGGCTTCCACGTCCTGACTCACGGGTAAATAGAGATTGACGTGTCGTAAACCTCCCTATTCAACGCAGCAGTTAATTTCAGTTCAGTACCCTTACAGACCACCCCGAAGGAGATCGTCCACCCCTACCACAAGCTGTTCCATACACGATAATAGCCATCTTTTAACGTAACTGCCCACGCTGGTCATCTCGATCTCCTATTTCAGCAGTATTACTATCCCGGTTCCACAGTAAATATACTTCCTCATATTAAGACAGTTTGTCATTTTAATTTTCACTTCACGGAAACGGCCATCCTCGAAAGAACATTCTATGTCCTCACTTATGAATTACTGTACCACAGTTCAAAAACATAAAATTACATTAATCTTAAATAATAATAAAAAATATGCAAAAAAAACGTTCGATCGACAATTCATAAATCTCTTAAAGTTTCTAACGTTTTCTTCATTCTCGCAGAATTTGCTTAGTATTAGCAGTATTTACGAAGTACTTAAAGCTACTTAGCTAACATTGTAACACAAGAATTGTGATATCAAACAATTAACAATTCCTTCTATTTATCTTTGCTACGAATAAATAAGTGCAATGTGAAACCCTCATAATCGTCTTAGCAGTGTTGCTAACCCTAAGAATCCACGTGAAACATTCATTGCAAAGCGAAACGAGCGCCGCACGTGGGACGACTGCGCAGCGTAGAACACCCTGTATACCTTTATCGGAAGTTCGTGTATCGCGCGTTCGAAGGGGAGATGATTGTTTCTGGCTCTGACCAGTTTGCTTTGAATTGGGATAGTCGGTTGAACTGTCCTCCAGCGATCAGCCGATCCGTATGTAGAAAAAGTGGTCTCGGTTGTCGTCGGTTCCGTGAACGCTAGATTCAAAGTCCAATAGGTTGCAGTAAGATTTCCAACGGGCGATCAAAACATGGTGGGAGAAGCTTGTCGTCGCGAGGGATTCGGCTGGAAAGGGATCAAAAAAGAGATAGAGAGGCTGGATCGCTAACGAGCGATGGAATTTTCGAAGGTTCGACGCATGGCGAGCCCGGCTCTCCTAATTACCAATTAAAACGTCTAATTAAAGCGCCTCGCCGCGAGCGGAGAGACCTCCGAAATCGAACGAATTGTTACGTGGAGCCCGTGTTTCTTCGCGATTGCGCGGTGATCGGCTTTGACCCAGTTCGCAATCTCACCGGAGAAAACAATCGATGATAAATCTGGCTGCGTTTGAACGGCACGCGGCTCCGTAAACACGCTTCCGCGGCGAATATTTAGCGGCCGATTGAAAAGTCGCCTGGAAACGGAAACGAGCTTCTAACGACAGTTTCAAGTCGTTTCTAAGAGTACATTGGCAACGATCACCACCGGATGATGCATCTCGTTATTTTCGCGGAACCTACGAAGGGATTCGGACGCGGAACAGTGGAATCGCCATTTTGTCCGGCGTTCGACGCTAGAACTACGGTACCGATCGAAAGGACTGGTTCAACTTTTCTTATTTTGTAATTATTGATATTTTGAAAGCCTCGCGCCTCTTTTCAAAGTTCATCGATTCCATCCGACACTAGAAAACGATACAGTTCAACTCTGAAATATTTTCTAAAAGTTTCTCTATCCCTCGAGACATTTTGTGTTTTCATTGGAAAAGAAAGAAACTAGAAATTTGTTGATACACATTTAATTAAAAGGAAAGTCGGACAATATACACTAAATTGATTAAAGTAGATTTAGATTTCAGATATAAATCTGAAAGCATAATGAATTACGAAAACAGAAAATTTAAAGAAATATTAAAGAATTAGATGTTAATGTATTAAATAATTATTGATATTTTGAAAATGTTGCGAATACAAAGTGATTTTAAGAGTACATTGCTTTAATATTTGTGTACTTAATGAATATCCGAAGAAATAAATCTGTTGTTACAGTTTTTATCAAGAATGCGTATTAATTGTGTTGAATGCTCGGTAATTCTAGTGTTAATAGGAACAATGAATGAAACTGAGAAATCTAATCGAGGAAACAGATTCGTTCGAGCTCTTTTTCGGGCGGGATACAATTTTTGAACGCGACTGTAGTGACCCACGTGGGAAATAAAATATTCAGAGGAGGATTTCAATTCAATTATCGCATTGCGTAAGGCTCCGCGTATTTTTCCAGCGTCGACCCTTTTGATTGCCAACTAATTAATGATTTACGGTGTTTCTTTATGAAGGAAACAGTTAAAAATCTCAATGTTTTTAACTGAATTGAAGAGATTTGTGCATTTGTGGGATGCAATGGTCTTTTAAACGAATTATACTGATATTTCCCTATAATTCTACTCTACTTATGTCGCTTTTATTTCACTGGAACTGTATACGTGTTTCACAAGCTTAAACAAGTTCAACAATCAAAATTTACCCGCTCAAACTCAAAGCATAAAATTAGATATCTATCTTACATTTGATATTCGTTTATTTAGATCTTAGCAGTCCAAATATAGACAATCAGGATACGTATTCGTGATACTGCATAAATAAAAATCAACGTAAACAGGTAACAAATAATGCTCATAAAATTCAATGTGCGCGAAATTGACGCGTTCCGTGAACCTAGTGTTAATGCTCCGAGTCCTACGTCCGCTCGCGTTCCAGGACCTCGAACGGGACCAGGCTCGGAAGTAGGTCGTTCAATCGACAAATTTCTCTGATCCTCGTTATATCCTTGCGTGTCAGTCCCGTTGGAAAGAATTATGGACACATTGGGGATCCGTGGCCTTTGTTTTCCGCAACAGCATAAAGCACTCTCCCGTATCGGGGTCGAATTCCTTGGCCGGCACGGGGTCCCGGGAACTGGAATGCATCTCCCCGCCGCGACATATTTCGCGGGAAGACCGGGCGAAAGAATGTATTCGTCCTGCGGGGGCAGGATAAACGCGTTCCTTCGGGTACGACCGATCGATTCGGGTCGTCAGTTACACGGATGTTCCAATTCGCGATGAACATCCGTCAGAGGACCGGCCAGCGACGTTCCGATTCTTTTATCGGGTCGATCGCGTGACGCGATCTTCCCGAGACTATCTCTGAACGTGCCTCGCACATAATTCCCCGTGATCGCAAGCTAACGAGCGTCTCTCGTCGCTCGAATTAGTCCTCGTGATAAGAATTCTTGAAATCTCGTGAATTCTTGATGTTCTTGGGATCTCTTGTCGAGATTTTTTTTAATTGAACCGTTAAAGTTACCAGTGTTCTCGCATCTCTTGGTATTTTTACTACTTACGAGATCTTTTCTGAGATTCTTGAAACTTTTGACCTTGAACTGTTGAAATTACTCGCGACTTACAATGTTCCTAAAATTCTATATTATTATTGTTATTGTTATTATTATTATTATTATGATTGTTCTTGAGACTTTTTAAATTCAACTATTACAATTACTAGTGTTCTCGTAGATGTTAGTATTCTTAATATTTAGATTTTTCTTGAGACTTCTTAAACTTTCGGCATTCGTAAAGTTTCATGTTATTTTTATTATTATCAGCACTGTTATTGCTAGGATTATTATTGTTTTCAATGTTGGAGTTCTTTTTATGTTCCTGGTATACCTGGAACATTTCTTAGTACCAAGGTGCTGTTTGAAAACGATTTTGATTTCAGACAGCACTGACTTTTTACTCTCCTATAATAAGGAGTCGGCGTTTCAGAAAATACCGGATCCCTTCCTGTTCCACGGGAGTCCGACTGACACGGAATTACCGGGCACCGTTCCATAACCATTCGCGGAACAGTGCTCCCCGTGCGTTCCTCGTGCCAATTGCCTGAAATTGCACTGTTCTTCCGCTGAGAATCTCGCTTAATTATCGATAACACCGGGAACGTTGGCCCCCAACCCCCGTGGACGCTCAAATTTTCATTTGAACGACTGCTAACGACCCCCGTATTCTATTTTCACGCGGTGTCCGATCGTTACAGCCGGAGAAATCATTCAATTATTCACACGGTGCCTCGTAGGATCTTGAAACTTGGCTTGTAATTCGAAAAGACGTTATGCTCCGGCAGTTTACGACTTCGTTAAACTTCGTAGCGTCATGTTTCTTCATTATACG